GGCTCCCGGGCCGCGGCGGCGGCTGGCGGCGGAGTGCCACGTGGTGGCTCCCGGTTGGGGCGGCGGCGACGTCCGGCGCGGGGCGGACAATGTCTGGCCGCGCGGAGACGAAAATTAGGGTTTTGAGGAGGGGGAAGATCCGGATTCGGAGGGGGTCTAGCTTTAAAGGTAGAGGGAGCTAGAAGAGTCCAAATGAGGTGCGGTTTTCGGCCACGCGATCGTGATCGAACGCTCTAGATGATGGAGCAGAGTTAGGTGGGTTTTGGGCCAAATTAGAGGGGTGTTGGGCTGCAACACACACGAGGCCTTTTCGGTCCCTCGGTTAACCGTTGGAGTATCAAACGAAGTCCAAATGATACGAAACTTGACAGGCGGTCTACCGGTAGTAAACTAAGGCCGCTTGGCAAGTCTCGGTCTAATCCGGAAATGTTTAATCGCCACACATAAAAGAAAGCTAGAAATGACCACCGGAGGAGAACGAAGCGCCGGAATGCAAAACGGACAACGGGGAAAATGTGCGAATGCATGAGACGAACACGTATGCAAATGCAATGCACATGAAGACATGATATGAGATGCATGAAAACGACAACAACACACGGAGACAAAAACCCGAACCCGAGATAATAAATTAACTTAACGCCGGAAACGGCAAGAGTTGGAGTACAAATTGGGAAAGTTACATCCGGGGTGTTACATGATGCGAATTCTAGGTGCAGGTTCAGACCTTCGAGGGGCAGATGGTGCTTGGCCGGACCTAGCACTACTTTTGTCGTCGTCACAGGATCGTCCCCGACGACCTCGTCGTGCTGCGCATCTCTGGCCTAGGCCTCAACGTTCAAATCTACAACCACGATAGCTCCATCGGGTGCAAGGTTCGCTGCAACCGGCACGAGCTGCATCGGTGACCTTGAAGTCGCCTTCTGAAGTAGTTTCGATGAACTCATAATTAGTTTGTTGCATCGGTGATCGGAGAACTTGGCGTGAACTGTTAATATTTTGTCCAGGGTTAAGCACCCTGTGGTGAAGCAGGGGGCATGTGATGCCCCAACTGTCGTTAAATTTAAGTCTATTTAGCAAATGTGTTGTTTAGTTGCTATTTATCTGCTCTTATCTGTTGTTTAGTTGATTGTTTATGCGATGTTAGCTTGTTTAGCTGCTAGTTTTCTGTGCTATTTGTAGTGCTCTACCTACTGTTGTGCCTAATGTGGTGGTAAGGCCACCACACTTGAATGGGATGAACAGAACACAAAACTGTATGCATCCAAACAGTTGTGGGTTGCACCTGCTCACTCTTAAGCACAAATGCGGGCAACCAAACAGCCGGCCTTAAAGTGGCCATTAATGCAATGCAGACAACTAAACAACATGCAGATGTTGGTTTGTTGCCTGTTTTTACTAAACCAGGCTAGATTGGGATGTGGCTCAAATGCAGGCACTTTTCACCCAATGCAACCAAACGTGCCCAAAGTGTAGTTCAAATTAGGAGCTGAAACTTTTTGAGATTGTACATCAAAGATGGATGAATGTCTGCAAAAAGTTTCATAGTTTTTTAACATGTTTTGTATCTTCAAAATGATAGATTTCATTGATCTCATCTAAGGATGGACCCTATACAAGTCTTCCTCAGGAAAAAGACGAACAAGGGGCACGTAACACCAGGCAGGAGCCCCTTGAACTATACCATTGAATTAACAGTTGCCACAAAAAGTACATCGTTGAATTCATATTAAAACTACTCCCTTGTAAAGAAATACTTTCTTCGTCTCAAAATTCTTGTTTTATACTTCCTCCATCCGAAAATACTTGTCAGAGTGGATGTATCTAGACATATTTTAGTTCTAAATGCAACCATTTTTATCCATCTTTTTGACAAGTATTTCCGGACGGAGGGAATATTTATCTACGTACGAATGTATCTAGTCAAGAATTTAAGAACGGAGGTAATATAAGCGCGTTTATATCACTACTTCAGTGATCTAAACACACTCTTATATTTCTTTACAAAGGGGTACTAGTTTCTAGTGATATATTTTTATAGCAAACATCTCATATAGTATTACTTTTATTGACGATCAAAGCAAATCTCAAAATGCAAATTAGGCCCTATATGTCCGAATGGAAGGAGCACACAAGTTTCAAGTTAGTAGATGTTCTTTCAAAAAAGTTTGTAGATGTTTACTTGGGATTTTGCCTAGACTTTTGATGGTATAATTTTTTTATTATATTTTGTGCGAAGTACACACTTAAAAGGGGGCATTGACATGAAAACACTGCTAATCGTCTTATTTCTGACCATCAATCATCCTCATAACAAATTGCATAGCAAGATAAACTTGGTGTTAAGACTCAAGAACAAGAGTAGAAAACATAGCATGTAAAAAACAGGCTAACAGTGCCCACCCCACCCAAACTGGTCAACTCATCTGCCAATAAGGTTACAAGTCAAGGCGCTACAAATGCAAGATATAGATGTCATGTGTAAGTATGCATCATGTAAACAACCACCTGAAAACACCTAACAACTTTTGTCAACATACAACATATCCCCTTAGATGACACCATTCTAAGATGCTGCCAAAATGTAGCTGCCGGGAGGCTAATGACCCGAGTAGTAGGGCACCGCACATTGCTGGAACTCCGGCCCCGAGCTCGACTCGAAGATATGCTGCGGAAGGGATAACTCGGCCTCCGGGAATTCAGCCTCGCTGCCTCGCTGCCTCTTTGCTGCCCTCTCGTGCTTCGGACTGAGAGTAGGAGAACCGGGATGACAGTTGGAATCTGCTGTTAGCAGCGGTTCATCGTGACATGGGCTCTTGATTGCTTCAGTCTGGCTTCCACTGTCTCTTTTGAAAGCTGCACCTTGAGATGCAGATTCAGATGTGGGTGCAGGAGTTGAGGGGTCTGTCCTCTCAGAGTCGGGGAACTGATCGCTCGACGCTGTGACAGTAGCTCCTGCACCAGGTGTTTCAGACTTTATACCACCGCCACCGAAACGCTGCTGCTCTTCTATGATTTTCTTAAGGTACTTTCCCTGTGCCTCGATTCGCAGCTGCAGCTGCCTTTGTACCTAAAGAAAATGTTATCAGCACATCTTATCATTGATCTCTACTTAATATAATTGTAGGTTATTGATGAACTTACCGCTATGCAAGCATGCAACTAATGCATCTGGTCAATTAAACCTAACTATTTACTTAATTTGCAAGTTCGGAAATATGAATGAGATTACAAACCGAAACGCAAACAATGTCTCTAATGCAGACTTCGCAGCCATTACTAGAAGAAGCGTGGAAGTTGACAATATTAGGAACGGACTTGTTTTTGCCTCTAGCTGACTAAAAAATTTCCTCTGTTTTTAGAATGGAAAAACCCATGTTTTTTAATTCACCACAGCAAATAAAGTATTTTACAAGCATTTGCGTTTGGACTGCTTTTGGAACGCAAACAAAAAACTTACTTCAAGCTGTTCATGCAACCGCTTTTGGACCTCCATCTGCAGCTTCAGGGCTTCAGATATCTGCATTCCACTGTAAAGAAAAAGGCTCGACGATCAAACGTCCCTAGGGAAAACTGAGGAAAACAGGGGAGCAGCATCAACTGAAAGACACTAATTCCAAAAGTGAAATTGAAGTCTCCAAGAAAAAGGTCGCTATACATTAGCAAAAGACTTGCCCCTTACGGATAGCATAGCATGGATAAACCAACAAAAAGCAACGAAATTACATCTTTCAAATAAAGGAAGATAAAAATGCATATGGATCAGTTTGAAGCTATATCAACGTGTTTTCGTTGCTGCGCAGTATTTGTGTACCTGAGGGTATTCAAGGCCAAAAATTGATGAACGGAATAAAATAAATTGAACACTTCCATTTTGCAGAAATTACTCATCAGTATAAAATAAGAGATTTCAATTAGATTATGGTTGCACCCTAATTTTTTCATGTTTCTAATTACTGAGGAACCACAGTTAGCATGTGTTTGTCGAGCAGCATGCAAACTAAAGAGTGGTAAAATAAGTGAGTTGACTATGCTAGATGAATTTCTTAGTGCATTGTAGAATACGGCATACATTGCAGTACTTGCATCTCATGCCATGCCAGTCACAGTTTACATAAGTTACTGTTTAATGGAGATTATAACTGGTCATTATACATACGAGGATCCATCAAGTCCTGCTAGCGAATCCCCTGGATCTTTGTTATCAGCCTTGTTACCTACACGAGAGATACATATTAGGAAAGAACTGAAAAAAACATCACAATACCAAGTATATGAGAAGTGTGTTCACCTACCATCAGCTGAAGAGTCAGGAATGTACTTTGCTAGCCTGTATTTCTGAAAACAGTAATAGAGGAATTCAATATCAGAAATTAAGAGTTAATATATTGCCAAAGGCCAAGTGGCACTGTTAAACAAGATGTACCTGCAAGTGACTTTTCACATGGTATATTGTTAATCCTGGTGTACCCATAATTCTCAAAACTCCTTTAGGAGTTGCTCCTGTTGCATTTGAGGAATTCAAGTGTCAGCAGAAGCAAAGTTCAAAAAAAAAGTGCCAGCAGAAGCATAATAAGCCTATATAATTACTGTAGCAAATAAAGGTGCGAATGCACATAACAGACAGATAAGTACAACCTAAGTACATTCTTACGTTTCACTTTTATAACATAAGAAAATACTGATAAAAGTTATTAATTGCTTAGATGGATGGAGATCCTCACCCAAGTGATTTGGAAGTCTTAAAAATCAAGCTACAATTCTCTCACTTAAAAGGGCTTCTTGCTTGGTACAATTCTCTCACTTATTCCAAGCTTATATGATGTTGTATTGAGATAATGTGACAGCTTAAAACCATATATAAGCTTTCTACTTAGAACAATGTTTTGAGTTCCACGGCATCATATATATACATGCTATTGTCACTTTTAAGAATGTCTGGTATTTTCAAACTATACTAAAAACTTCACTAGATATAACAATGTCATGTAATATAAATGAATTAATGTAAAATTATATCACCTTTAGATTTCAAATAAACTACATTATCTAGTCCCATAAAGTGATTACACAGTAAGAAGAAATAGTATTCATATAAAGAAGTAATGAAGCACAGTTGCAGTGTGGATACGTACTATCAGGACCGCCAAGTTGAGTAACAGCCTCCACAAATTGTTCATGCAACTCATCTGTCCACCGTAAGCGTTGCCTCGCAGCCAAGCTAGCTTTGCTGTTTGGTCCATCATTCGAGCCCATGTTGTTTTCACCTGATTCCATTTGCTGCAGGTGAGCGACTGAGTTGCTACGATTAGACTCTAGTGCTGGTGGATATACTGTTCATCATCTAGGGAAAAAATGATGTAAGGAACCAAATAGAAAAAGCTATTTTATTTCCTTAGAGAACCATGCTATTTTAATAGAAGGGGGAGTCTGACATGCAGTGATCACCAACAATTTGCATTAATGAAAGTACAAAATATAACTACTTAATATGAAGGTGCCGTGACATATTTCACTCCCTATCTACTGAGAAAGACCACCAGCTTGCAACATGTATGATGATTTGCTAGGTAGTTAATGCCCTATTAAGACACCTCAAACAAAAAGCAGTAAGATATGGCAATTTTCATACAGAACCCGGGTACTTCAGGGAAGACTAACCACACATTGGATTTAAGACAACGGGGAGTGTTTAATTTAATTTAGTACAGTACTAGATAATACTGAGAGCACTAACAGCCTACAGAGATGTCGTTTGCCATAGCAAACAGCTAAAATTCTCATATTCTGCCCAGAATGCTAGAGGGAACAGCCATTTTCTGTTTTCATCCACGCTAATACCTTTATCTCATCATTCCACTGGTCGTTCTGTTTACAAGGCAGATCAATCAAATCATACAAGTCACAGAGGCAACACAAACTGATACTGGAATACTTGTGCCCACAGCTGGGACGGTGCACCATCTCATACTATTGCGATCCTGGATCAGCTCAGACAGGTCAATTTCATGGCCACTAAGCAAGACAAAACAGCACGGATACAAATAGGCGAGGTGGTGGCTCGAATGAGCCATTCTAGTCATCCAAGCGGCCATCAATTGCGAATAATCTAAAGAATCATAATAGAATGAGTCCCGCCCCGTTATGGACCAAAGGGGCTGCTGAAATTTTCAAAGAAACCTCTAGCCAAGGTTCCAACAAAAGTTTTTATTTCTTAACGCCAATTCATCCTACTAACGCTAGTACAGGAAATCGGTAGTTCCAAGAGTTTCTGTGTTCTCAACTCCTCCTATGTAAGAGGAATTTGCCACTTCATCCAAAATACAACCATGATGATGGTTGTTTGCTATGCTATCCCAGCCTCTTATTCTCTCATTAGAAACAACTGACCAGCGATACAAAATATGAATTCCATGGAAGCTCGCACTTTTATCAGGGCAAGAAGATGAGCAACCCCCAACATAACAGCTGCTGATCGCCAGGTTGTCGTCAGGGGCTACGATGCCCCAAGAACCCGATGAAAAACCATATGCCAGCCATCCCCCACAGAACGTGGGCCCACCATGTCAGCCTCACGAGGGCTCTTCTCGCCCCTTTCTTCCCCCAAATGGCCCCGACCACCCATGGAAACTACTTGGGCCAGGCAAGAGGTGGGGAAACGAGACAGGTAAAATTCGGGAATCCTCCCCGCGGCCAAAACAAATTGAAGAAGAAATTCGAGGATTTCTCACCTGCCAGGGTGGACGAGCCGTCCGAATTCGTGGCGGGAGGGTCGAGCCGGGGAACTGGGGACGGCCGGAGTGCAGCTCGGCCGGCAAGATCGGGACTTGGCGCGGCGGTGTGGACTGGTTGTGAGGGAAGATTCGTGGGTTGGCGATTTCTTGGTTTCCGGCGAGCAGTGGAGAGAGAATTCCACGAGATTCGCCTCCCACCTTCTCTGTCTGTGCTACCGGCTCGGAAGGACCAGATTTCAGCCCAAACCTGCCCAAGACAAACTGGTTTGCAGCTATTTTCAGTTAAGTCCTTGTATTATAAAGTTTTGTGTAAGACGCACTTTTGTTCAGTATGGTAACTTTTCTAGCTCAGCGGTATTCTGGGTCCAAAATCTTTCTTCCAAGACCCAATCTTGCTTTCCTGCTAACTGATCGCAGCTAAGATTAATGGATTATATATAAATAAGTAGTAACATGTCTGTAAATTTTGGAGTAGATAGTGAATACAGATTATATATAAACAATAGTAACAGGTCTGTAAATTTGGGAGTAGAAAATGAAAATAGATTTCTATATAAACAATAGTAACAAGTAGGAGCGACGTTGTTGATGACGATGTTGATGACGATCTGTTGCTGACGGTGATGAAGACGACGATGAGTAGAGCCGCCTGACTTGGATGAAAGACGACCCGTAATGACGAACTCGAGCAGTCGGGCAGAATGCTTCCCAAAAAACTAATTTGTTCTCTCCTAGTGCAGAATTGCAAGAACGAACGGTTTCGGAGACCTGCTCTTCCGCACACCGTTGCACAACGGCGTTCGTGATGAAGTAGATTACGATGGCGGGGCAAGTTACGAGATGAAGCAAAACCCTACGTGTTTTCGATGTGCCTTTGGCCGCGCCAGTAGCAGTACATACAATAGGACCAAAGGCGGTGTCGTTTCACAAGCATTACTCAAACTGATTTTTGGATTATAATTTGTTTACTTACAGAACAAGAAATATTTAACTTGTCTGCCAAGACATCAAAAATAAACGACAAAAGGAAGTCGCGCCTCTATAGATTTGGCAAACCATTCGCGTGCATGTCGCACATGCGATCTTCTATTTCTCTCCGTCACACCCAACCAAGTATGACATAGAGAACTCACTATATAAAGAGATCTCACACCTCCTCAACTAGCCATATAAGACTAAACTTTTAGCACCAACACTTATCATTTTTCATGAGCCTGGTTTGAGATTTCAGAAATTTCTCATGGGCTAGGCCCATTATTTCCAACATTCGTCGCATGTAAGTGAATCTAAAGTGGGTTTAGTGAACCCCGGATTGAGCAACATGACGTGACCACGATGATTGAGTACACATCATCAGCCGCGTGAATGTAGATGCAATCGGATGCCTTCATGAACCGTGCATGGTTCGCGACCCCGTGTCCGTAATATCGTAAACACGAGAGGTGTGGAGTGAAGATTGTGCAGGAAAGTCACGCAGCGTGCGCCCTACATCTGGAAAAAGGTTCAGCCCTTAGCTTAGCTTAGGTCTGGCCGGCCATTGGCCAATGGCATGCTGCGCCACTGCCCGCGTCAGATTAGATGGGACGCGTCCACGTGGCGCCTGCGGATCCGTTCAAACGCATGAAAATGGTCGACCGACCTATGCTGTGCATTTGAAAACGGACGAAGGCCACCAAAACAGGAGCGTTTTTCTTTTTCGCGGGGCGCTTTGTTTTTTCGGGAAAAAAGGAGCAGCATTTTTGTTGATCTGGCTGTCATGTTTCCCCAGAAGCGTTCTTGATTTTCCTTGGCATTTTTGTGTGTGGGATGACTTTTCTTGGCATTTGGAGTACCGGAAACCTATTTACTACTCCCTTGTTCATAAATACTTCCTCTGTAAACTAATATAAGAGCGTTTAGATCACTAAAATAGTGATCTAAACGCTCTTATATTAGTTTACGGAGGGAGTACTACAGTATAAAATATTCTACTAACTATTTTACAAATTGAATGTACATGGATAGTATTGATGCGTTTGTTCACTCATTCCAGTCTGTATGTAGTTCATATTATTAAAATATCTTATATTTATAAGCGGAGAGAGTACAATGAGGAAATCAAACGTGTTTAAAATGCTACAACTCCACAATTATCCATGTGAAACTCGCAAGACATTCCATAGTGGTATATAAGAGCATCTACAACTGGACTTGACAAATCCGGCCCCTCAAACGCCCGCGGACGCGTCCAGACACTTCTCAAATAACTCTCTCTGTATCCGAACACCTCATATGTAAAATCTGAAAATCATACAAACCATGTAAAGAAAACATCTACATACTACGTATATCAACTAATTCTTGACTACGCTACTCGTTGTCGTCGGAGATGTCCACTATCTCCGTTCCGGGCTCGGGTACATCGGGCAGACACAACTCCCGCTCCTCCTCTGCCTCCGCCTCTATCTCCGCTTCCACCTCGTCGAAGAGCGCGTCAGTCTTCGCTTGTTCTTGCCGGAGGAAATCCCGGTTGGACTCCACGTACGCTTCATTCTGGATGGACTCCAGGATGCCTATCTGCTCCTCCATCTCCGCCTCTTGGGCGACGGCGAACTTCGACATGGCCTCCTCCATGGTGAAGCCCGCAACCGGCGCCGACTCCTCCTTCGGATCCGCCCCTCCATGGGCTCTAGCTGCTGCTCCCCCTCCTCCTCCTCCACCGGCTCCGGTGAGTCCGGAGGCAGGCCCGCTGCGATCTGGGCTGCGCGCCTCTCCCGGGTCTGGAAGCGGCGCTCCGGCGTTAGCATAGCATAGGTGGTCTTCTTCTGCCGGGCCATGTCGGACGACGAGGGAAGAGGAAGGCGGAGACAAAGAGAGATATGATCGGGTTGACGGTGCAGAGAGGGAGGATGAGGTTGTGGCTAGGGTTGCGGACGTCGGCCGGCTTAAATAGCTGGATCGACTTTGGCCTGGGGTGGCGAGCCGGAGCGGCGCCACACAACATTCACATCCCGCCCGGAGGAGACGCCCATCCAACTGTTGGGTTTCCAGACGATTTCGTGTGTGACCCAGCCGTTAATCTGACATGACGGACGCGCCCAGGCCTCCTCATATCCGCCTTATTTTTGGGCTGGATATGAAGGGTGACGTTTAGCTCGGGCGTTTGAGGCCCGTTGAGGCGCCCGTCTAGGTCAACTTTTTTTTAACCGGTCACTGATCGAGGCATCCACCCGGGCGTATGGTGGGGGGAGGGGTGTTTGAGGCACCCGGCTATAGATGCTCTAATATCATAAGTACTATCATGCAATCACATGCAGCGACTAAATAAAGGTTCTAATGAGGAAATAGAGGATACCCGTATAATTGCAAATGGGGTGCTAACATGAGTCATGCAACATAATAAATGGGGCCGTCTAAAGATAATACTAACAAAGTTTGCGTTTGTCTTAAGCCAAACTTGTTTAATTTTGACCAAGTCTACTGAAAAATGTATTAATATCTAGAGCACCAAATTGGTCTCATAAGATTGTCGTTTTTGTACTATGTGTATTTGATGTTATTGAT